CCCTCTCTTTGCTTCCCTGATTTTCAAGCTCAGCTGACCATTTAATCTCAGTTCCTCAAATAGGAGCTCCTTAGATTCAATCTTCAAAGCTTTTTTCCACCGGCCTACCTCCACAAATTCTCCCATCTCAGTTCCTCACCCTCTCAGCAACCCTCTCTTTGCTTCACCCTCTCACCCTCTCACCATCTCAGACAATGGCAACAGACGAAAACACAGTTCCTCACCCTCTCACCAGCTCAGAAAATGGCAACAGATCCTCCCCATGCTTTCAGACAATGGTAAAACTATCACCTCTCACCCTCTCACCCTCTCACCATCTCAGACAATGGCAACAGACGAAAACACAGTTCCTCACCCTCTCACCCTCTCACCAGCTCAGACAATGGCAACAGACGAAAACACAGTTCCTCACCCTCTCACCCTCTCACCAGCTCAGACAATGGCAACAGACGAAAACACAGTTCCTGAGAAGAGAGAATTATTGTTACATACTGTACCTATTTTTTGATACAATTTTGTGTTCTTTTGATAATTAACTTTTTTACCGAAGTTAAGGCATTGGAGCATAAGATAGTTGGAGCATTTAATGATGGGCCCACTCTTTGCACCGAAAAGAGGTAAATATGCAGTGTACATATTTACATTTGCATTGCAACCAAGCGCAGCCTAAAGTCTCTGAATGTTAAGTTAGGAATATTCAAGGTTAGTTAAGGACACTATGGACAGCTGGCACCAGTRATCCACATTCCATATGGATTCAAGAATGGAGTCATTCCAGCCGCTGTTATCTGGACTGTCTGGTTGGAACATAACTCAAGAATTTTTCAAAATGAATTGCACAAAAAGGATGAAATACTGAAGAAAGCAGTAGCCATGGCAATCTCTCCTTTCATGAAGAGTCTTACAGTTTTTGTACAGTTCCCTGTCGAATAGATTTTGGGGGTCCAGCTTTTTGAGATCATCTTTTAGATTGTATACACACATTAACAATTACGAAGAGTTTTCAGTAAATATGTACAGAACTCCTTGGTCATAAATAGACATTTAACAATTACAAAGAGTTTTCAGTAAGATCATACATGTCAATAGAAAACCTAAGATATACATATTTTCTTTTTAATAAATTTCTTCTCTTGTTATGCTCTTTGTTTGTTTCCCCCTTGTGTCCATATGTTGGAGAGAGGGGGGGTTATTTCACCTAAAACTTAGGGATCGTTCATTTTTCAGGAAATAGGAGGAGAGAAAGTTGGTCAACGGGAAAGTGATTCCCATTGACCAACTATATAGTGTTCTATTTACAGTAAAATCCGGGCCCCGTGGTAAAAGTTAGTTTCCCTGGGTAAGTGATACCTATCTCCTAGGTGCAACTTTCCCAAAACATAATGGGACAAACTTGTCCATTCTAACATTGGCCTTTTTATGGGTAAAAAAAGTCACCATATAACTTAACTGGGAATCAAAAGAACATTTCCCGGTAAGTGTTTCCCAGGAAAAATTTACCTGGGTAAGTTCACTTACCCAGATAAATGTAAGTGACCTTTTGAAAAACGAACAAGGCCTTAAGGATAGCATCCACTTACAGAAAGGCTCTTCATCAGAAGGTATTCTACATCTTCTATGGAAAGTTTGGTTCTCTCTGCAATGACACTTAATGGAATAGTGCGATCTTCCGAGGGACGACTGCAATATAAGAAAATTTGCTTAAATGCAGCAATAGTATAAAGAACAAACAGTAATAACTTAACCTTGCCCAGACAAATTCTTAACTAATACTGCTCTCCAATACACACCTGAAGATGATTTCCATTAAACAGAGAATGTTAATTTTTTCCAACAGTTTCTTTTCATTCTCTACTAATGCTGGCTGAGACATCAAAGCAGCTTTATGAACATGACAGAGTTCTTGATAACGACCTAAATCACCAAAATTGAAAGCCTGGAGAATGTAGTAGAGCCATTCCACTTTCGTCCCTAGAAGGCACTTTATCTGCACAGTCATTAAGAGAGGTTAATACCTGGAATTAGCAAATACCCACACTCAGAAAAGAAATTGACCAGAGGGTCACTGGATGAGAAAACAATAAAGTAGCTTCCAGGTAACAAACCACAATTCAACCTCTCCCTCACCCACACTGACCATGCATCAAGAAAATAAAAAGGCACATTCTGCTTTTAACCAGCCTCTTTTACAGATCAGCAGGACCCAAGGTATCAATAGAAATCAACTAATAAAAGGATGCATGGTCTAGCAATTCAGTAACATTCATAACGATCCTTACAGCAAACCCTTGGTGCATAACCCAAGGTATCAATCAAGGCAATAAAAAGGCAGTGGGATATAAGAGGAAGATGCTCTAACCCCACAATTAGACTTCATTCACAATGTTCATTATGAAAAAGCCACTGAGGTTTATATACGAAAAAATAATAACTATTAGTATGCAAATTCCATTTTAACAATACACAAGGTCAAAAAAATATTTATTAACATCAAACATCAAAAACTCAACCACATACAAGCAGCACTGCAGCAGGTTTTCCATTTTACTAATAAATTTCCAATTATTTCCCATTGTGTCAAATCATGTTGAGGGTGATTCAGATCAACATGATAATCTGGCTGCTATAGTGGTATTTAGCCCCTGTTTGATATCACTTAAAATAAAAAATAAGTGATGGGACCACACAATAAGTGCAAATAAGTACTTATTCCTGTTTGGCAAAAAAGACAAKAATAAGTACTTATTCCCACCCGAAGGATTTTAGGCCAATTAGCTTGGTTAATAGCTTGTAAAAGATCATTGCAAAAGTGTTGCTTTTGAGGCTGAAGAAGGTTTTGCCAGATATCATTGCACACTACCAAGGAGCTTTTGTGAGTGGAAGACAAATTACTGATCAGATTTTAATTGCTAATGARAGTGTGGAGAACTTTAAGAGGGATAAGAAGAAGGGAGTGGTTTGTAAGTTGGACTTGGAAAAGGCTTATGACTTGGTGAACTGGGAATTTTTTAGGAAAGTTTTGACTAAATTTGGGTTCGGGGCTAGATGATGTAAGTGGATCATGGGTTGTGTCCGAAATTGTCATTACTCAGTGCTAGTGAATGGGACAGTGGTAGACTTCTTTCCAGCCAATAGGGGAATAAGACAAGGAGACCCCCTTTCTCCTTTCTTGTTCATTCTAATTGCGGAGGTTTTGGGGAAATTGATTCATAGAGCAGATTCTACGGGGCTCATTAGAGGCTGGAGAGTGGGGAGGGCAGAAACCCCTCTTACTCACTTGCAGTTTGCTAACGACACGATTCTGTTTTGTGAAGGAGGTAATGTGAGCTTTATTAGGAATTTGAAGTCGGTGATACAACTGTTTGAGCAAATATCCAACTTGAAAGTTAACCTTGGGAAAAGTTGTGTTGTGGGGGTGAATTTGGAGGAGAGAGAGATCAGGGAGAGTGCTGAAGTGTTGGGGTGTGAAGTCTCGAG